AGCATAAACACCCTGAGTGACTTTCCCAGTAAGGAATGCATGACTCACTTAAGTAGATCCAGGAGAGGGAGAGGGGTGAATGGCTTATGGGTCATGTCCAGTGGATACTATGTTACACTCGCACAGGTTTTTGTTCGCACAAGTGGATCTTCTTCCGCTCAAACTAGCATCCGCTCAAAAAAAATTCCGCTTGAATCCGCTTGAATTGGCCTTCGCTCGAAGTGGCATCCGCTCGAATTGACTGGTTCCCATTCAGTGGTACCTGGTGGCCTCTGGTACCCCAAGCCTTTTAGGGTAAGCACTGAGCTTTTGTAGTCTGTAGAGGTATATTATTCCTCCGGGTGAGGTCTAAGACTCCCGGTACTCCACCAAATCTTAGCCCACCACCTTTGCTGTCTTCACAGCAGGTGAGAGAATGCTACTCACCAGTCTGGAGGAGATAATTGAAACCCATCACCTGTAATAAGCAACCTGCAATCATTTAGCACTGTATATCTGGTTGCAGGCATTGCTCCTTTGGTAAACCTACCAGCTTCAGTGGCAGAACTCAAGTAGGTCCCTGGGGAAGTGTGGGAACTTATCTACAGTATCTCCTTTGCAGTCCATCCTGTCTGGTTCAGTCATACTTTTTGAGTTGTCACGGCCAATTTCGCTGAGTGCTGTGATCTAGGATGAACCCGCTAAAATCCTTACAAAATTAGGCCCAAATTCCAATCTCGAATCCCCGCACTCGGAAGGAGCAGGTCTTCCTGTAAGAACGGCCACAGTAGATGACGATTCCTCACCACTTTAACAGGATGTGAATCCGAATGATGTATCAACCCTGGACTTACAGTAAACCCCAAACTTTGACGTACCATGGTCACAAGTCAACAGTCCCCCCAAAAGCAATTTTTCCCTTAACAAACTTGCCTCCTAACAAACTTGCCCACTAACAGACTTTCCTTTAACCTTTCTTATCAAGAGCTAGCTGTCAGCATAAATATTTATTTTATTTCAGTATTTACAGTATAATCATGATCAAAATATGTACTGTATTATAGAAAGCCAAAAAACGATAAAACCAAGCAACTTCTAACATTTTCATTTTTTTTTTGTTACGGTAATAAACTTAAAATTTTTGATGCAATTCAGCCTGTGCTGCAAAATCAAAATGTTTTAATAATAAACCAGAATAAATAAATAAATAAATAAATATAAAAAAAAAAAACTGTATTCGTTAAAAATACTATTAAAAATAATTAATAAACTAATGTTGCAGTAATGTAAGTTTCGTGGTACTGCATTGCTTAGCTACATTGTTCACTCCATACTGCAGCCGAAATGCATAACAAAAATAGCACAACTGAAATAATCAGATGCCGAGTTTGTTGGAGGGCGAGTTTGCTGTCTCTTATACACATCTAGATGTGTATAAGAGACAGGAATTACACTACTTCGAGAGTCAGAAGTGCCATGCTCTGGCATCAGGTGGTAGGTGTATATTTTTTATGGCTCTACAAAAAGATGTACAAACTACTGTAGGCCTAAAGTAAAGGCGTACATTTTCACTTGATGAATAACGTTTTTTTTTTTCTTTACATAATCCCTAAGCCTAGTCCTAAAAAGCTAGTCGGGGCTAGAGCCTGTCAAAATTTCAAGATCCAGAACCCCTCATACAGGTGATCGTGGCTGCTGCACTGGGAATTCCCCTGATAACTATGACGTGTCTCAGGGAATTCCGGATCGGAAATATCATCGCGTCGAAATATCTTTGGTCGAAATCAAAGATCGAAATCTAATTAAGGAAAGGGGGCGCTTTTGGAAATTCCTGGAAAAAGTACGTACTGTACTGCGTGAATGCAGCTAGGAGGTTTAGGCTAAGCTTTGATTGTGCTGCTGTTGTCAACTTCTGTTTTCGATCAGAGATAAAAAAAAAAGACCGAGTTGGGTAGGTTTTAGTTAATTGTCTTTGCAATCCAGTCATTAATTGTAGGTTGTATCTACAAGTTGATACTATACTACTAGGCTCTAGGCTAGCTAGGCCTAGGTTTTAGGCCCAATGAATGCTTACCCTAGCTAGGCCTAGGCTATACTACTAAAACTAGGGCCTGGCCTGGCCCTAGGCCTAGTACTACTACTACAAGGCTAGGCTCCTAGAGCCTAGTTCCTCTGGGCCCTAGGGCATTAGGCTAGGCCTGGGCTTGACTTCTAGGCCTAAGCCTAGCTAGACTAGGAGGAAGGAGGCAGCCTAGACTAACAACATGCAGTAAGTTAGTATTATAAAATAGGCTAGCCAAAAAGGTACTTACCAGTACTGTATATCTGAATTTTTTTCCGCTTCTTGGGCTACATTCTAGCCTGGTTCCTAGCTAGGGCTAGGCCTAATACAATGTTACAATGTGTGTGTCCGTAGGCCAAGGCCTATAGATAGGATGATCTTTAGACTTTTGACTTGATGTGATGTCGTTTCTCCGAGGGCTTTCCAGGGTCGGCTGTGCAGTACACAGGTCAGTAGACACGCCAGTCTGTGCAGCCGCAAATGAGCTAACCCAGGAAATCCGTGGTCATTGCAGTGTGACCTCCAGGGAGGGGGTCGTCACTATATTCCCCCATTGTTTGAAGAAGGATGCCATGCAGCATGGGCAGTGACCCAACCCACAAATATTCAGATTTTGTAATTTGTATGTCTTCTGTGGGCTCCTAGTCGGGGGTTTGCTTTGAGAGGGTGTGGACCCATAAATAGAGTAATTCAGTGGGGATGCCAGTCGATTCGAGCGGATGTCAGTTCGAGCGGATGCCAGTTAGATCGGATGCCAGTTTGAGCGGATGCATTTAGTGCGAACTATAACAAGGGCGAATTTATCGTTGCCATATTCTTGTATTTGTTTGTTTTAAATGCAAAAAATGCTCTGATTACTAAGGTTCTGAAAGGTTTTTAGTACTTTTTGATAATTACTCCATGTTTAAATTACAGTCTTGGCAACTCAGACTACCAAGATGGCCGCTAACAAGTTAAAACTATAATAGAATTGCGCACTTCTCAGCTTAAAAAAGAATAAAGTGTATGTTTTACCATGGTTTTACTAGCGTGCACGAGAAGCACACACACAAGACGAGTGACCATTATTTTTTTCACGGTAAACAAAGTGGGGTGGCTAGCCACCCTATTCACTACCCTTCCCCCTCCCCAGATCCGCCACTGTTTGGGGTTCTGTATTTTAAAAAGCCCCCTTCCCCTTTGAAAATGTCAAATTTTTAGCTCAAATTATATTTGTATTAATTGAGTTATGCTACTCACTTATCTATTCTGGAACTGTTGTGTGCCCCCTTCCCCTTTGAAAATGTCAAATTTTTAGCTCAAAAATAGGAAATTTTGAAGTAATTCGTAGGTAACTTGCTGTATCGGTATGCTCCAAATATATAACTTCAATATAAATATTTAATAAAACGATGAGGAGTATAATGATTTTGGACCGATGTTGTTGTCACAAGAATCAAAACTCAAAACTGACTATCCTAACTACTAAAGTAACTTATATACAGCAGGGGGACAGGAAGCAAGTGCTCATCAAGACATTCCTTACAAGTGATGTAGCATAAACACCCTGAGTGACTTTCCCAGTAAGGAATGCATGACTCACTTAAGTAGATCCAGGAGAGGGAGAGGGGTGAATGGCTTATGGGTCATGTCCAGTGGATACTATGTTACACTCGCACAGGTTTTTGTTCGCACAAGTGGATCTTCTTCCGCTCAAACTAGCATCCGCTCAAAAAAAATTCCGCTTGAATCCGCTTGAATTGGCCTTCGCTCGAAGTGGCATCCGCTCGAATTGACTGGTTCCCATTCAGTGGTACCTGGTGGCCTCTGGTACCCCAAGCCTTTTAGGGTAAGCACTGAGCTTTTGTAGTCTGTAGAGGTATATTATTCCTCCGGGTGAGGTCTAAGACTCCCGGTACTCCACCAAATCTTAGCCCACCACCTTTGCTGTCTTCACAGCAGGTGAGAGAATGCTACTCACCAGTCTGGAGGAGATAATTGAAACCCATCACCTGTAATAAGCAACCTGCAATCATTTAGCACTGTATATCTGGTTGCAGGCATTGCTCCTTTGGTAAACCTACCAGCTTCAGTGGCAGAACTCAAGTAGGTCCCTGGGGAAGTGTGGGAACTTATCTACAGTATCTCCTTTGCAGTCCATCCTGTCTGGTTCAGTCATACTTTTTGAGTTATCACGGCCAATTTCGCTGAGTGCTGTGATCTAGGATGAACCCGCTAAAATCCTTACAAAATTAGGCCCAAATTCCAATCTCGAATCCCCGCACTCGGAAGGAGCAGGTCTTCCTGTAAGAACGGCCACAGTAGATGACGATTCCTCACCACTTTAACAGGATGTGAATCCGAATGATGTATCAACCCTGGACTTACAGTAAACCCCAAACTTTGACGTACCATGGTCACAAGTCAACAGTCCCCCCAAAAGCAATTTTTCCCTTAACAAACTTGCCTCCTAACAAACTTGCCCACTAACAGACTTTCCTTTAACCTTTCTTATCAAGAGCTAGCTGTCAGCATAAATATTTATTTTATTTCAGTATTTACAGTATAATCATGATCAAAATATGTACTGTATTATAGAAAGCCAAAAAACGATAAAACCAAGCAACTTCTAACATTTTCATTTTTTTTTTGTTACGGTAATAAACTTAAAATTTTTGATGCAATTCAGCCTGTGCTGCAAAATCAAAATGTTTTAATAATAAACCAGAATAAATAAATAAATAAATAAATATAAAAAAAAAAAACTGTATTCGTTAAAAATACTATTAAAAATAATTAATAAACTAATGTTGCAGTAATGTAAGTTTCGTGGTACTGCATTGCTTAGCTACATTGTTCACTCCATACTGCAGCCGAAATGCATAACAAAAATAGCACAACTGAAATAATCAGATGCCGAGTTTGTTGGAGGGCGAGTTTGTTAGTGGGCAAGTTTTGTTAGGGAGCCAGTAGGGGGAAACTGTACAGTCAAAGGTTGAGTTTGTCAAGGGGACGAGTTTGTAGAGGGCGAGATTGCAAGGGATCGATTTGACTGGATCCCATCCTAGATACTAGGCCTAGTCCTTTATCTAGCATTACAACAACAGCCAGCATGTAAAGTACGGTAAGTACAGTGCAAATGCACACAAACAGGCCATACATTTCAGAAACTAAAGGCTGATTTCCGTGCAAATTTTACGGAAAATTAAGCCCTGACTAATCTCATAATAAACAATCAACCATGCTGTATTATGCAGGAGTTATGATTCTGCATGCATCACTTACTAGAAACCACCCGAGGGGGCATAGACACAAGAATTTATCAGGCAGGTAAAGCATAAAGTTCTTAGAATTAATGAGGTTGCATAAAGTCATCAGCTTATGCGACAACAATTGAGTTTTTGTCTAAATTCTAGGATGCAGTTTGGCACGAATCTGTGTAGTGCAGAGAACACAGGATGGTTCCCAGCAACCAGGGGCGGATCCAGAAATGTCCAAAAGGGGGGGGGGCCGGAAGGGGAGCCGAAAGTTGGGCCGATTGAGACAACACTGTCCTAGGGGGTCCGGGGCATGGCCCCGCGAAATTTTTGTGTTCTAGACGCCCAAACATAACATTTGAGGCATTTTGGGCTATCATTTTTTTCCTTTTCTCTCTTTTTTTCTTCTTTTTTTCTTTTTTTTACCTCCCAAAAGGGGGGGCCGGGGCCGGGCCGGCCCCCCCCTAAATCCGCCCCTGGCAACCGTATAGGATAAGTTGGAATATCTACTCAAAAAATATGGTTTATTATGAAGTTAGTGAAATCTGCCAGTAGTAGGGGCCCCCAAGTTGAAGAAGTCCATTCGCAGGAGATTTTTACAGGAACGTTTGGCTGACTGCAAATACAACGCACGTCGTGTTGCAGCCAAAATGCAACTACTCATATGATATCAAATACTTGAAATTCAATGATCGAACAAACAGTTATTTAAATTGCTCTTGCTTTCATTTTTATTTACACTATGTAAATTAAATACCATGAAATTACATAAATTGCTTCTTTTTTTTTCTGGAATCTACTACTCTGTACAGTAGGCCTAGCCTAATATTATACATAATTCATTTATTTACACTATTAATCAATATCATGTAATTACATCAATTTACACTTCCTTTCTGGCATCTACTAGTTTAATATTGTATTTCAATAAAAGTAGTACTGTAATAGCTTTTTGACCGCTGAGCTGAGAGATGAGTGGAATTTCGATGCAGTTCATGGCAGTCTAAGCAAGTCTGTAAACATAAAAATAATGAAAATATTATCTCAAAATGTATGTAATCTAATTTATTTTATTCTTGTTAAAATATCGATATCTTCTCTAGGTGTACGCAACTTGACTTCAGAAACCGTTGTCGAGGTCTAGGTCTAAGTTATTTTAAGTAGGCCTAGAGCAGGACAGAAAAAAGAAAATGAACACAGAATGTATGTTTCCTTCATGATCACATAAAACTTAAAAAATTGAAGTCAACATACATTTAAATGTCTTTCAATATCGGCCATTCCATCGTTCTTCGCTGAGATTACAGCATTACTTACAACATGGATCTCCATGCTTTCAAACAATACATTTTGCTTAGTTGAGAGTACGATTTGACCTTGATGGTGCACCATCTGTGGTGACGGACATACTTGCTTTCTTCGCTGTGAGCCATATCTCTTACAGTATTATTTTCGAATATCAATTAATGTGTGATTTTCATGAAACAGCTACGATAAAATTAATTTTATGCAAAAAGCTATCAGTATTTATGTTGCACGGTCACAAAGGGCATGATGTTTAGACACACTCCTAGGCTATCTATCGCTGCAGGCATGATCACACAGTGTTGTAAGCATGGGCGCATTAACTTTTTTAACATTTGGTTCTGTGTTTTCAGCAGCTACTGTAATTAATTGTAAATGCTTTATAAATAGTGATAGTAGGGAGTGGAATAAGCTTATTTGTGACTGTTTACGATTGTTTTTTTTTACATCCTGAGCCTTGTTTTTACCTAGGCCTAGGCTACAGTAGAGCTGATTTTAGGTATATAAAAACTTTGCATGTATTTTTGTGTTAATTTATACAGACCATTAACCATTACCCTTTACTTATTGTTGTTTCATATAGTAAATTGAATGCAGTAGCTATGTCATTCCATAGTAATGATGAGGTGGCTTTGGAACAGATGGAGTTTTCTTATATAAAAGAATGCAAAGATACGAAAGAACTGGAGCGAATTCTTCGAAAGCTCAAGTAGGTATATTAAACAATTTTGCCCAAGGCAAACAATTTTTACCACAGTTACAAGTATTTTTTTAACTTATGTTTTTGCCCATTTCAAATGTGTATTAACTTAAAATATCTTGGGTAGAATTGAGAAGGTGGCTGAGAGAGGTATAGTTCCTGCTTCTTATGCTGAAGACCCAGGCTCAAAACCCGACCAGCATGAGATTATAATTTGAGTTTGATCAATTGGCTTCTCGAATAACCTTATATTGTTGAGACTTAGGCAAGTTAAGGATAATGTTTGTATCCGTATGTGTCTGTTATTTTGTAGTTAAGTTGGGTGACGCTGCACTGTGGGTGCCCAGGGCCCCAGCCCGAATTTTTGATTTTCTATTAGAATGATGAATTATTATTTAAAAATTAAAATTTTTTATTAAACTTCATTCAGGTCAGGCAGTGAAGGTTATTTTCCACATCTCACTACATACTGTGAAGAAAGGCTTGCAGAGCTAAACCCAAAAAGGTATTATAATTATTTTATTTGAGAATGTCAAGTTTACAGGAAAAACGTACCTTACAGTATCTTAATTGTATAATGAGCTAAGCTACTCAGTTGTCTTATCTGCTGTCATCAAGTTGACATATCTTCAATGCCTGTTGTTTGCCTTCTCTACACACACAATAATTGCTCTCCCAAATGTTGACTGATGTTGCTCTTCCTATTATTGACTGATGTTGTTTCTGTTATTTTTTGTTGGTGGTACTGTAGATCATTTTTTATTATTCAATTATATCTTTAAAAAAAAAAAGACATCATAAACATAACATTCAAACGTTGCATTATAAATATTATATAGTATATTATAAAAAAAAAAAAATAAAGGTAAAAGAAAAAAAAAATCATATTTTAAATTTACAAGTAAATTAGCAAGCAAGCAAGTAGACAAAAAAAATATTCTTTTTAAAGGAAAGCTCATGGATTGATACCACAATACCCGATAACTCAAACTTACATATGTTAAGATCATAATTGTTAAGTGTTACGATAATAATTGTTGCACATTTCCATGGACACTAAGCTTGAATAAGATATTGAGTGTGAATCAGTTGGACTGCGTGAATGCTTGTTTTGACAATGGAAATTGATCATTTTTTAAGCACAAAATGTGCTACATTTTATAGTAGTTATCTATTAAAGCTCAATTCTAAACATTTTTTTTTGTAACTTTTTCATTTGTGATACTATTAAAAGAAAAACATTCAGTCTTTATTGTATAAATCTATCATTTCCCCTCACTTTGACTATTGAAACGTATTATGGGGTCGTTGCAACCAATCACTAAAACATAAACTTAAGTGTTACAAAATTGAGCAGCTAAGATAATAATGTGGACATCTAGATATGACTAGCTCTCAAGCACTAAGAGACCTAACTTGCTAACCCCAGAAAAATCAAAAACAATGTCACAGTGAAGCAGTAACAATGTATAAAATAATGAATAGCTTAACACCATTCTACTTTAGAAACAGATTTAATGAACGTGAACAAATATATAATACTAGATCTAAAGACGTTTAAAGCATTTAAACCAAAAACTGAATATAAGAAAAGAAGGTTTTCCTACCATGGTGCCAATATCTGGAATAATCTAAATGATTTAAACCCAACTGCAACTGTTTAACATAAATATATTTAAATCATTAATAAACAGACAACTATTGAAAAAATTAAAACAACTTAGAGTTTTTGTTTCATAAAGTTAATTTTTAGTATTTTTGTGTTTTGAAATAAAAATTTATACATGCAACTTTTTCTTAAGAGTAGTTTTAGTGTATTATTCCTAAATGAAACCAGTTTCTAGTTTTTGATTAGTGTAATGTAATTTTGTGTACTTTGATTTCATTTTTATTATAACTTTTGTGCCATACATATATCTTTTCATAACATGTAGTAAGATAATTACCGTACTCGCGAGAATAAGCGCCCAGGCGCTTAAAATATTTTTTTTGCACTTTTTGAGGGGCGCTTATTCAAACGGGGCGCTTGTTCGAACGGGGCGCTTATCAAAACAGAGTGGAAATTCAGGGGGGCGCTTATGGAAATAGATGAAAATCGAGGGGTTCTTATGAGAAATTATTAAATTCAAGAGGCACATTTTGAATGAAAAACGATTATAAAATAACATCAGGAAACCGCAAATTACGAATGGTGGTGCGGTGGAAAAGATAATCGTCCAGAGAGCATGGCTTGTCATGACAAGAATGTTGTGAGTACAGTATTACATAAGAGCAGAATAGCAGATGAAATTAGTGGTGGTGGTTAGCTTGTTAGCCATCGGCCGATTGAGACTAACAGGATGGCATGATCATTGCAGGTTTTCTTGAAAACTCAGATGAGAATATGTTAGGTGCAAATTGTCGGAAAAGCAGTAGAAATAGGCTATAGAAAAATATAAGAAGATGAAAGTTGGAAATATACTGTCTGTCCTGGGAGCTCTCATCATGCTAACATCCACAGTCCAGGATTGATTGAATTAATGAGGGTGGGGGGGCGTATATTCAAATTAGAAGGGGCGCTTATTCAAACGGGGCGCTTAAGGAAATTCTCAAGTTAGGAGGGGCGCTCATTCGAGAGGGGCGCTTATTCAAACGGGGCGCTTATTCGCGCGAGTACGGTAAGTTATTAATTACTTTACTTTTGTATTTTTTCATTGTTATATAAATTTGTATGTACTCGTATTTATGTTAAATCAAAACGGCCTTGTGATAAACACAGTTTTCGTGATTCAAATTTTTCCAATTGAAAATAAAGTTATTATTATTATTATTATTGTTATTAGTATTATTCCTTTTTTTATGTTACTATTTCACATTGCTCTCTATATGTTTTCCCTTCATCTCCTGCTGCTTAATTTTCAGTGTATCTGTATATAAATCATATTTGAATATTTTTTTTTTAATGACGATTTATAATTTCAGCCAATTGCTGATCAAAGATGGCTTACCTGCAAATAAATATGATGTGGATAAGAAAGAATGGGAAAATATACAAAAGGAGATGAATGTAAGAAGCAGCATGGCTCCTTGTTACCTTGAAAGAGAAATATAAACTTTTATTTTGTTTATTGTACACTTTAACAGAATAAAAAAAACCAGTTGTGATATAGGGGATTCCATCCCAAAACTAGCATCCATGGCAAAAAACAAGGAAATTGTTTAATATATTTTAATATATATTTATAATCTCATTATAAGCTTAAAATGGTGGGTCATTTTTGGAATCATCTTACAATTGCCAAGAAGGAGTTAAAAAGTATTAGGGCTTCCCAAGGCCGTAGCCTGGATTTGTAAGGTGGGGTTTGGTTTTTTCAGAAAATGGCAAATTTTATGCAAAAAAATTAATGCAAAATCCAAATTTGACGTTTTATGCTAATTATTTACCAGAATTATTTTTATTATTATTCAACATATATCGATAGTACACTGGTTTTGTTGTACACAAGCAGATGTTATTAAATAAATGTGTTCTTCAACAATAAGAGAGATAACATTGGTGGTCCAATAACGTGTTATCAAAGATGTATGCGAAACTGGGAACAAAATAAATTTGTGGCTAATTTTTTTTTAATGGTTCCTGTTTATATTTCATATATTTGTAATTGTGTTTACAGGAGTTTGAGAAAATTGGTAAAGACAATGCAGGTAACGCAGATTATAACAATGTGAACCTTCCCCCTATACGAAATAGTACAGTGATAACAACGGATGGGAAAAAAGTAAGGGTAATTGTTTTTTTTTTTTAATTTGGTGGGTGGTCATATATATTTAGAATTACCGAAAACTAGATACCCATCAGCATCATCATAGTCTACCATAATTAATGAAAATTAACGTATATACCAATCATATTTCCTTTTGTATAAAACATCACCCCCCCCCCCCTTTTTTTCAATTAAAAAGCAATTTTTTTTTTGTAGCACTGCATGCCTAATTTAAAGCCAATATATGATTTTTGTGCCTACTACCCTCAGGCAGTAGACACTTTGCTATCCTGGTCAATCCGGAAGTGTAAAGTTAAAATTGTGAGCGTGAGTTGACATTCACAAAAGTGTAAATAAGAATCCGGAAGTGTAAAGTTGACATTATGTTACATTTGTGATGTGTGATATGACGTGATTTACTACTCTACTACCCGTAAACTCGGTCGTGTGTGGTACAATGCATTGCTAACCAATTTATCATTATCTATCAGGCACACAGTTCCGAAAGTTGGAAGTTAAAATTAAATCGAGTGGAAGTGGTTAAACGGGTCTACAGTTGAACTCAGGTCGAGACTGTTTTGCTTGTGGTTTTTCCCGTTGTTTTTTCTACCCTAACTCGGTGGTTTTACAGTTGCAACAACAAATTTATTAATAATACTATTATTTCATTAATCACTTTCGACATCACCGTTTCTATTAAATTTTTTTTTTTGTAGCACTGCATGCCTAATTTAAAGCCAATATATGATTTTTGTGTCTACTACCCTCAGGCAGTAGACACTTTGCTATCCTGGTCAATCCGGAAGTGTAAAGTTAAAATTGTGAGCGTGAGTTGACATTCATAAAAGTGTAAATAAGAATCCGGAAGTGTAAAGTGGACATTATGTTACATTCATGATGTGTGATATGACGTGATTTACTACTCTACTACCCGTAAACTCGGTTGTGTGTGGTACAATGCATTGCTAACCAATTTATCATTATCTATCAGGCACACAGTTCCGAAAGTTGGAAGTTAAAATTAAATCGAGTGGAAGTGGTTAAACGGGTCTACAATTGAACTCAGGTCGAGACTGTTTTGCTTGTGGTTTTTCCCGTTGTTTTTTCTACCCTAACTCGGTGGTTTTACAGTTGCAACAACAAATTTATTAATAATACTATTATTTCATTAATCACTTTCGACATCACCGTTTCTATTAAATTTGGCATTAGACACGCCCCCGCTGGGAGCCTATTTTTTTTTTAGAGTAATTGCAAAAGTCAGCTAAGTTACTTATTAAAATCATACACTGGGCTTATACCCGAGGAAAGGTTGGTATGTAAAATTTGGTGTAAACTGGGGGGTTGGCTTATACCCGAGAAACTATGGTGCTACACATGAATGTGTTTATTCGGTGTAAACACCAAGGATAAAGTAACCCACAAAAGTCTGAAGAAGACTTATTTCCAGTGGGGTCCTTCTGGTGGTGATCAGGGAACAATTTTTTTTTCAAAATATTGATTAGGGACAATTGCTAATCAGTTTTCAAATTGATTAGCAATTGTCGCTAATCAATCAATGTGTGTATCAATTTTATAATAATCTGCAATTACAGAAACAGTACACCGGAAGACAATCCCCTATCCTTTTTCCGAAGAGTGTACTGTGTTCTTTAACATGCACATGGGCCATATTGCACACAGGTCCAACAGCTTAAACGTCTCATTAGGACTTTGCTCTATCGTAACATTTTAACCACTAGCTGAAATACTAGGAGAGCAGTGATAGGAATTGAATCGGGACATATAAATCTCTATGGTTCAGCGCACACCAGTGGCTACCTGCCGTTGCATTGCACATACATTGTAAAAAGTATGTAAAGTACATATAAAGAATGGCGTAAATAGATTTTTATACTCAGGATATAAAAGTTATATTCTTATATTTCCTAATAACAGTCAAAGAATGAAGAATGGGGTAAGCCATCCAAAGATCGAATTTCCTCATCAAACTACAGAGAATGGGACAAGTTTGATGCTGATACAGCTGCAAGTAATGTTGATAAGAAAATCTCAGCTGAGTCTAACACATCTAGTATCAACGCAGAAGATATCAACATACAGCATTTGGTCGATACAGCAGGTGAATATTTATCATCATCTTCTTTTATTTCCATCATTTATATCGTTTTTAAATTTTAGTTAAAAAAAATTTTTTTTTTTAAATTATCTTTTTCAATGCTTTCACCACTGTACACACTAATCGTAATGTTGAGGTTTTAGAAGATCTTTTATTTTGATGATAATAATAATAATAACAACAAACAGACCGAATGGAAGTAACATCATTCTCAATACCTTCAGGGGTGGAGCGCCAGGGCCCCCAGGGCCCCAGCTACGAGGGGCCCTGACATTGTAGTTAAAAGAAAGTGACATCATAGATCTTTAACAAAGAGCTCGGATTCAACTTAAAATGTTTAAATATTAATTTTTTTTTCTGATGTATCTTTCATAATTACAGTATCATATAATTTTACATTTATTTTTTTTTATGGTATCTCATGTATTCTTTAATTGTAAATTCTGATAATTGTCAGTAAAAAATTTAATATTTCTCTTACCGTACTCGCGCGAATAAGCGCCCGGGCACTTAAAATATTTTTTGCACTTTCTGAGGGGCGCTCATTCAAACAGGCGCTTATTTAAACGGGGCGCTTATGAAAACAGAGTGGAAATTGAGGGGGCGCTTATGGAAATAGATGAAAATCGAGGGGTTCTTATGGGATATTATTTTAATAATTAAAAATTCAAGAGGCACTTTTTGAATTAAAAAAAAGATTATATAAGGACATTACGAATGGTGGTTAGAAAAGATAATCGTCCAGAGAACATGGCTCATAACAAGAATGCGTGAATATTTACATAACAGCAAAATAGCAGATACAATTAGTGGTGGGTAGTGGTTAGCTTGTTGGCCATCGGCCGATATTGAGATTAGCAGGATGGCAGGATCATTGTATTTTTCTTGAAAACTCAGATGAGAATGTGCTTAAGGTCAAAAAAAGAAAAAGAGGAGTAGGACTAGACATAGACAAATATGCAAAAAGATTAAAGTTGGAAATATACTGTCTGTCCAGGGATCGCAGCTCTCATCTGTCCAGGGATCGCAGCTCTCATCTGTCCAAGAGAAATATATTTTGATATTGACTGAAGAAGAATGTGTTTCCACTCTGCAGCTCAAATCATGCCAACAACCACAGTCCCAGGATTGATTGGATTATTGACTTGCTAAAAAAAAAAATCTTATGATGGGGCGCTTATTCAAATTAGAAGGGGGCGCTTATTCAAACGGGGCGCTTAAGGAAATTTTCACGTTAGGAGGGGCGGTTATTCAAACGGGGCGTTTATTCGCGCGAGTACGGTATATTAATTACATTTTTTCTAACTGGTTTTGGATCAATGATTCTTTTTGATCATGCAATAACACATTTTGATGGTATTTATGTGTTGTAGTAAAAATTAAGGGGAATTTTTTTGAGTATACATATGCAACGGCAAAAAAATAAATGCCTCCCTCAAATAGATGCCTCCTTCGAATAAACTCCCCTCGAAAATCCTTCTCAACAATACACACCCTGGGGTGTTTATTTGAATAAATGTGGTAATTCCTTTTGGCTTCTAGTATATTATTTAGGTAAATTTTCTTTACACTAAGCCAAAATTAACTACTTTCTTCATGTCTGATGTCATCCGATGATGTGCCGACCCCCCCTCCTGGGGGAGGGGGGTCGTCATAAATATCAGACAGCTCATAGTCTCCTTCATCTCTGGATGACATTATACCAGTGTTACGTTACGTTTTGGGCCATGGGACTGCTTTCTACACCATGAACAAATTTGTGGACCATTCCACATTGATTAAATATTCAAAGTCATTAATTAGACCCTATACATATATAGTCGAATAAACTTTCTTGATTTTAACATAAGGATAGCATCAATTGTGCCAGTGCTTATGCCACTTTAAAGTTATGATGAGAAACTCTTCCTTCTGCCATAACTTTTTTGAGCACAATATAGTCGATGAATTCTTTTGATAAAGTAGGCCTGAACACTGAATGTTAAAGGCAAAACAAAATGTTGTGTCATTGGGAAATTGATTATTAACTCAGTACAGAGCAAAGTTTCAAATGATTACAACAGAAAGAATAAAGCAAGGCTTGAGTAATTAAAGTGAGTAAGTAAACTCATATCACTGATATTTTCTTAACATTTGGCTTTACGCTCATTATTTCATCTATTGCATATTGTGAGCATCACCCAGGTGGAAACCTCAAAGAGTTGCGCTCAAGACCGAACAAGCTGCTTATTTCTAGACCCATGTAAAATTTCAAGTAGGAACAAAAAGCAACGGCGATAAACTAAACCCTATATTGCAATAATATGTGTAGTATATCTAAGCATGAAAGCAATATTCAATTAAAATAGTATGTTGTTTTCCGTGAATTTATATGCCATATACTACGGCAGACCACTCAACCTTTGGCCGACTACTTTCATTTCTTGCGGACCATTGACGTTTGACAGACCCACCAATCATTTTTGTTAGACGATGACTAAACACATGACCTAAAAAATGTCAGCTTAGTATTAAAAAATATTTACCTAAATAATTATCGATATGTTGCACTTTATTAGCACATGTTTTTTGAAGCCTTATATTATTTGGTTTTTTTTCTGCTTAAGGAATGTCAGAAGAAGAAAAGGTTTCGATGGCTAACCGAGAAAAGGACAAAGGAAATGAAGTTAGTAAATAGTGTACAAAAAGCATCTTATATGTCGACAGACACAGGAAATTATAATTATTAGGACATTTGCATGTACAGTACATAGTACTTATAGCAAGGTTCTTTTACTTAAGCCTTGGTCAGACTACCATATTATATTTGAAAAAAAAATGTGACATTCATGTACAGTCATGATGACATCACATCATAACCATATATAGGCACATCATGACTATATATGGGCATACAACAGTTTTTTTTTTCAAATAAAATGTGGTAATCTGAACAAAGCTTAATTTACAGCCATTCACACTGCATGAAGGGCAGTCACGGTATGGAGAGCTTAATTAATATATGCAGAGAAGAATGAATAAATGTCAGCAAATTTAAATACATGACAATGTCAAGAGGAAATTGGTGCAAGATTGCAGCCTCATCATTGTTTTTAGCCAAACCTGATCATGGCATTTATTGTAAAGCAGTTGGGTTTCCTGGCATTAAAAGTACTCTTGGTAAAATCATTCTGCTTCTTATGAAAACATATCATTTTTGGCAAAAACTCTGATTTCTTTAGTTCGTCAAATTACATTGACTGAAACCAAAATGTTTATCTCCGAGTTCGGCATGTTCTGCTTCATTCATGGAGTGTCCATTAATTAATATTTTACCAGTGAATGCAGGTAATAAGTATCAAAAAATGTTCCCTTAGTATTATTTTATGTGACCATTCCTTGAGCTGGTAATCAGTATCTAACAGTGCTGGTGTGATGTTAATTTTATTTACAAAGGTGTGCAAAAACACCTGTATTCAAATTTTACAGTCTAAGATGACTTGATAAATTGCACACTGTGTGATTTTGGTAATATTCATGTATGATTGATCGTTACATTGAATACCACAACCTGGTGTCCAAATGAATACAATGCATTGGCTTAAGGGTCAGGCTCACTATAATCGTGCAAACCCGGTCGCCCATGTTTCACCAACTTGGAATGACAAATATGATAATATGATAAGTGTTACCAAAATTCAAAAGACCATAATATATTAGAAAAGTGTACCAAATTTCATGGAGTTTTGATTACTGAAAACAGAGTTAGGACGATATTAATAGTCATGAGTATGCAAAATTTGTCTGTCGCCAGGTAAAAATTACTGTCTTAGCAATATGCCATTCAATAAATGCTGTGTACCACAGGGCTTATAGTTACCGATTTGTAAGCTGGTTGGAAAGTTGTCAATTTGTACTTTAATTTTTTTAAATCGAGGTGGGTTTAGTATGGTTTATGTTAAAGTTTAATAACCGTGTCACCAATTGCACATAATTTACGCTACATAATCATATTTGCCAGGAAAAACTTATATATATTATTGCAGAAAAACTTTAAGGTAATAGCTAATATTTGCTTAGTATAAGATGTTATGAATACTGTATTATTAATTCAGAAAAGTAGAATAGTCATCTATGCAAAATATGGTCGTAAACTTGAAATTTTGATTGTCGCTTTTAAGCAGTGAAACATACGTTACCTTATTTCTTCAGTTCAAGAATTTTAACCAAATTAACGTGAGAAGTAGTTAAGTAATAAGCATGGATACAGCGTCAGTAAATCATTATAGGTGTTAAGTAATCATGTTTAATTAGTAATTGTAATTAGAAAGGTAATGTATGTTACAGTAACCTATGTTACATTATGGAATATAAATCCATATTAATGAAATATAGATGGCATAAATCTATTATAAATGACTTTATTTACATTATCCTACCATACAGTGACTCTCTTTAGAAATGCTATCATTCATGGAAATTATTCCTATTGCATATATTTCAAATTTATTTTGAGGGTAACGTATATTACAGTAAAATATTATGTGTACATTATAATCGCGAGTAAATTCATGAAAAAAAATATTACACATTAAGTAAATTTACCTAATCAACATTCTTTAATATCAAATAGGTATGATGACAACAAATATGTTTGCAGGTCATCTTTATAATGTTCTATTAGAGTATAATGTTCAAATTGAGCAAAACTAGGGGCTTAACCACATATCATTAAAACTAGACCATATTATCAACTACTTCAATGATTTTTTCTCAAAAACCATAGCTAAAATAAATATAAAAACAAATTAAATGTTCTTCTTGTTGATTATAGACAAAAATACTCTTTAGTCATTTATGATAGTTTTGTAAATGTGTTCATTTTGAATGCGAGGCTATCATTTATTTTTTAAAACATGTACTGTATATACTTACAATTGCGAAGAGAAATTATAATTTTACTTGACTTTACAACGATAGACTCATGATCGGTGTTACATAATTATGTGAAACTTTCGTTACTGACATTTACATACATAATGCAATTATCATTGGAAGTGTACATTTTACACTCAGTTATAGATAATTGTCTTAAATCCATCTATTATTCAACAGTGGTTCAATAACTTCCGTTATCGCATATCAAATGTATTGATTATGATAAAGGGTATACTGTGAAGAAACTATTTGAAGTTAATGTTACGATTTTAGGGAATTGTTCTTGACATATTAAAGTTTCATTCTAAAGAAAACCCTAGTTTGTTAACTGAACTTTATTTTTCTTGATTTTTAAAGTCCAATTGCACGTTTATAGTGAGCCTGACCCTTAATTCTTGTACAGGACTAGTAATGGTACCGTAAAACCTTGAATTGAAGCCCAGTCGGCTTAATCTCGAGATGAAGCCCATCTCGAATTGAAACCCCTCTTTGGTTTGTAAAATTAGCCTCGAAAAGACAAGAAAGCATAGGCTTCTTTTCAAGATAGTACAGTGTATACACTGTACATGAATTTCAAAAGACAAAATAAATTAAAAACAAACTTGGTTTATACAGTAGTTTAGGTGATTTAATGTCAGTTAAACTAATTTCTCTATGGTTAAATACACTCCATGATACAGATTGATGTTACAGTGGCCGTATTTATTGTATTTTATAGTACAAATTCGCAAAATTTACAGTATTCATTTTGAAAAGAAGTGGTGCCCCTCTTTAGTAGCCCCTCTTTAGTAGCCTCGAAAAGAAGCCCATCTTAAAACGAAGCTAATTTCAAAAAGAACTCCATCTAAAGTTCGCAAAAAAAAAAGAACCTTCAATCCTATGTTTTACGGTATAGTATAATGGTAAAACTGCCTTGTATTCAGAAATGGCTCCTATTAAGTTAATTAATTCTATTTTTATTTAGTAATTGACAATCATCAATGAAAAATTAGCCAATTATAAAAAATAAATTTAAAATTTATTAGCTATAATATAGTATATGATACATATAAGTGAAAAATGCTTTATTAGTATTAGGGGATTAAACTATTAATTTGCAATTCATTTTGTCTTATCAGGCATTTCATTCTAAAGATTTCAAAGAAGCCTTAGCATATTACAGTAGAAGTATCTCCATACAACCTTCATTAGCTGCTTATAACAATAGAGCACTTGCAAGTAAGTTTAAATTAACCACTGAAATCAATAATTTGTGGCAGAAATAATGTGCACCAAGGGGTTGGTAATAGGAAAAACTCAATCTACTCAGTGCCTATAAAGAAAAATGTGCATTAAGAAATATGAAAAATATAAATAATACCGTAGTTCCTCGGGTATAGTCCCACCTCGGGTATAATCCCACCCCCGCTTATAGACATTTCTTTGGGCAAAGTCCCAGGGTATAATTTACATGAGTAGGTTTGGTTATAAAATTATACAAATGCCCACAAAATATAAAGGATTTGGCTCCGAATTCGGCAGACCTAAAACTCTTCCAATAGATTAGACCAGACATTGGTCGCCGTAAAGTTGAATACAAAGACCATTCTTGTAAATTCTTGTTGTTTACTGTCACTAAAATAAACAAGCTCGCTTACTGTTGCAAAAATACGCAACACCGTGGTCCGAGAGACATGCCAGTAAGCTGATCGAATCGTTAATTCGCAGCTGCGGCTAAAAATATCGGTAACAACACATCGGTTCGTCCCTAAAGAGACCCGCACCCGTCCAGTAGTCTGATCAGATCATTAAATCACAGCATGAAGACTTACATGTTCCACACAGAGACGCTCGCTGCTAACTTGAAACATGCTTTACAAGTGGGTGGTCTTCACATGCGATGGTTGATTGGTTGGATTGGTTGTTGCTGGGCAAAAACTAACCTACGACATCAAGAAATTTTAGGCAAAGGCTGGCCTAGCTCGAGGTAAGACCAAGATATGGCCTCTCTAGCTAGGCCATTGAATCGTAGGGCAGTTGTTCTAATGCTTCTGCCACCTCGCAAAAACATCGCCATTTTTGTTCTGTTCATGCACATGGGAATCCCCGGGTATAATACCACCCTTCAAATTTGGGCCAATTTCGCATTCGTGGGGGTGGATTATACCCTTGGAACTACGGTATATACTAAAGAACATACTGCATGGCTTTTGTTCTGATTGGAATAATGAAAATAAATTTTGAATTTATGAAAAATAAAATGCATTTAAAAAAAAAAATTGGTGCTACTAAAACTCAAGCCTGGGCCTCATTAATACTGCTGAGGCTAAAGTGGAAAGTTTTAACTATTGCGCTATAGAACCCACCTTGTGAAAGGCAGTAGATCTCCAGTCTGCCTACATTTCATATGTTGAGAGCAAAGACTATTTATACATTTCACGGTAAATGTGCATTGCACTTAATTCTAACATGTTTGAAAACTATATTTCAAAAAATATATTGATATACATATGTAAGTGTGTGCTTGGTAGAACCATGTTTAGAGGAACAGGGAGAGAATTCAATAATGAAAATTGATACATCTATCAATATTTTATTTATTTATTCTATCAGGTATCAAATTGAAAAAATTTGATGATGCTGTAAAAGACTGCGACAAGGTCCTAGAAGATGAACCAGACAATGTCAAAGGTTAGTAGATAGTGTCATATATGTACAATTGATAAACTTTTAAAAAATTACATTGAATATAAATTCAAATTCCCATTAACATAGGATAATATGAATGAGTGCATTTAGAGCACATTTTAATGTACTATAAGGATTCGTAAGATTGGAATATTCTGGTGGTATCTTTTTTTCTATTCTCTTAGTACAAGAATTGTTATATGAATCTGTTGACAATATACTTACTTATTTACTTACTTGTTACCACTTCTTACATATTACCACTTATTACTTATTACTTAATACTTATTTATGTATTTTTTTTGAAGCCCTTTTGAGAAGAGCAACAGCAAAAAAAGGTCTCAAGAACTATCATGCTGCTAAACTAGACATTCAGAAAACACTTTCACTTGAGCCAGGCAATAAGCAAGCTAAGGTTTGTTATTGATTGTCATTGCTTTTATTGTTATAAGCATATTTTGCTGTTTAATGCATTGTATATTACAATTATATTATATTTGTTTGTTTGTTTGTTGTTTGTTTTTATTTCTTGCTCTTTTCATACATAAATCAAATTACCAACCAATTACAAAGGAAATTTAACATCACCAAAAAACAAATTACATTATACATAATCAATTAAAAAAAAATTAAAGGAAAAAGGCAAAGTGCAGAAGGAAAAACATCAAAACACTTTTCAAAAAAAGGAAAAAAAATGTAATAATCAATAGGAGATACTTATTGTATAATATAATTGATAACCAGTTTATATTTTTAATGATTATAATTGCAAAATATTCTGTAATAATTTAAATTGACTACGATTAGTAGCTACATTATATCTTTATTTTTCAAATTGTTTTGTAGAGCATGTTGGCTGAAATCATCACTGCTGACTCAAAAAATACAAAGACAGAAAGCAAGGGGAAGAGAATAAAAATTGAAGAAGTTGAAGGGAGTGGTGAGGAGGATGCTGATGAGGATAGTGCAGAAAATAGCACTATAGCAAACGGATATCATAAGAAACTGGAAAACGAAGTAGACGACACCGATGGCAATATCTGTAGCACTAAGAAAAATAAAAGCAGCGATCAAGAACCAGAAGAAAGAGGGATGGATCAGGACCGAAGTTCTCCAGAACAGAGATCTGAAGTAGAATCAAAGAAAGAAAGTAGTTCAGAAACCATAAGTGAACAGCGCCCACAAGCTGCAGAACCCTCAGAACCTGCCCAGGCTCCTGTGGTTGCACCTCCACCACCCCCTTCTCTCCCTAGCACTACTTTGTCATTCAAAGACGAAGCTCAGAAGCTTTACCTTGCAGGACAATATGGCAGATCATCAGAGTTGTATACCAAAGCTATACAAACACTTATGCCAGGTATCTGAAATGATTATTTATTGAAAATTAGAATGGAAAATATATTCAGAGTGTGCTGTTTAAGGCGATACTTTTTTTATTCCTTATTTTTTTAAAGGTCATCGGAGGAGGGTGGAATAAACATAAAAATAAAATTTTGTTTTCTTATTTAGTAAATAGTTTTGCCATAAACACCCAGATGGAGGAGAAAATAAAAATAAAATTTTATTGGTGAATGTAAAATGGGATGGTTGAATGCTTCAAATTTATATAATTAGAAAGAAATATAAATATCTTAAGGTCCACTGATTAATCTCAGATAAGAAGAAAGTATAATACATACTCCAAGTATTGAAATACACGCCATCGTGTTGGGATTCAATATTTTGACATTAATTATGTCATCATCAGGAATATTCCTGATGATGACATAATTAATGTGATGACTGAATTAATGTTCACTGAACAAGGTATAAAAAAAGTCTCGCCTAAAAGTGGCATTATTATATCATCATCATTATTAATAATTATCGTTTTTGTTGTTGCTATTGGCATTGTTTTATTAGTATAATTTATATGAGTGAGCAAAGCTGTATCTGAAAATAAACCATTATTGTTTCTTCATCTTCATATTTTATTCATTTTAAAGACAAAGATGTACATGCGGTCTCTCTAGCAACATTGTATAGCAATCGTGCGGCTTGCCACTACCAAACTGGAGATATGAGACAGTGTATTCAGGACTGTGATGATGCCCTCAAATTTGGACCGTTCCTCACCAAACCTTACCTCCGAAGAGCCAAGGCATATGAAACGCTTGAAAGGTAACCACAGTTTACATTTCTACACCACTTTTTTCACCTCACATCCCCCAAATATGGTGTGGGTGTGGCCCATTTGTCTGGGAAGGATGGGACAGCTCTCGGGAAATCTTGATGTCACTTCTGCCCTAGCAGGGAATGCTTGCTACATTATCATGTGAATTGGGTGTTAGTTTATCAGTCATTCATAGATTATTCAGCCTTTGTGTTGTGAATCGCTCACAGTTAATTGAGAAATATATATATATTTTGAAATAAAACAAATTAGATGTAAAAAGAATTTTATGCTATGTTATTTTTTTTCTCCAAATTTACTCTCTCGTAGGTACCGCCAAGCTTATGTGGATTATAGGAATGTTCTCCGCATCGACCCAACAAACAAGTCAGCTCAGGATGGGTCTGCCAGGTAGAGCATTATCAAATAAAATATGCATTTAGTTAAGTATAGCAGTAGCATGTGTTTAAAATGTTTTCAATTTCATAATCCAAAAATACATCTACACTTGCTTTTTGTACAATGGATACATTTCTTTCAGATGTATGATGGTGCTCAAAGAGCAGGATGGATCCAACTGGAGGGAAAAGCTACCAAAATCAGATGTACAACCTCAAACATTTATACCACCCATATTGACAACTGTTGCCAAGAGTGCATCATCAGCTACTACAGCCACTTCAACCACAGTCAAGATGTCCACAGGGATGGCTTCATCACATCAAACATTATCTACACCTGAAAATGATGTGAAGGTTGAAGAGAAATTAAACGTTGAGGAAGATCATCAGAATGAGGCTGGAGGGAATGTTGAAATTGCGGCACAGAGTGAGAATGAAGCGAACATGGCTGCAGAGGAGACATTAAAGAGGGTGGCATCAGAGGAGGCAGGTGCAAACAAGGATAAAGATGACAATGTACCCTCTATTCAAGAGCAGTATCAAGCAGCAAAAGAGAAAGGCAACATGCATCATAAAAAGGTGAACATCCTTTAAATAATGTATGTATTGTTTATTAGAACGTTGCTTGCTGTAGTATATTCTGTATTTGAGTGTAGCTGCATGTGAAAATAAAGAAAAAGAAGAGAAGAAAGGAAAAAAGAAGTGTGTAGTGTTGTGTCATATACACATACCAACAGAAACTTTTTGATTGTTAACGTGTATCCTGTATCATTGGTATTCCACAATTGTCATAGAGATTGGGCTTATAGTAATTTATAAATGTAAATTATTTTTTTTGTAATTCATTTTATGGGATTTTAGGGGTTATTTGGATAAGCACATTCTTGGAGGTCAGTTTAAATTTTTGCCTATCCTCAGCAGCCCATCCTGCCTTAATTTTATGACATTCACATGAAATACCCAAAGGTTTCAATTTAACAAATTTAATAATCATCACAAAAAAGGTCTATCACCCCCCTGGTGACTGTTACATCTGTTCTTCTTTTTAGGGGGAATATGAGCAAGCAGTAAAATGTTACAGTGAGTGTGTTGATTTGGATAGGACTCAAACAGTTGGTTTCACTAACAGAGCACTTTGTCACATTAAGCTAAACCAGGTAAGATCCTTCTAGAATAATAGTTATTTTCTGCAATGAATATGGTTTAAACAAACATTTACAACAAAGAGGAATAATAAACATAATAATTTATTTAAAAAAATATAATTAAGTACTAAAGCTCTGTCCAGGCTATCAAATTTTCTTTGACAAAAAACTGATTTTTGCCCATATATAGTCATGATGTGCCTATATATGGTCATGATGTGATGTGATGTCATCAGGACCATATTTAGCCATGTCACATGTTTTTGTCAAATAAAATCTGATAGTCTGGAAAATGCTTAACACTTAATAAACAATGGTTAAATGTAAAAAATAAAATAAAAATTAATGCTTAAGCTGGTAATTAAAGCGTAAGTTTTAGAAATGGATACAGTAAATTAACCTTTAGAAGTTGACCCATATTTGAGGAAGAAGTTGTGGTTTTTATACTTCCAATGTACTGAATTGTTCTTGTTTTCTATACAGCCACTTCTTGCAGTGTCTGATTGCTCTACTGCCCTCAAGCTGGATGACAAAAATGTGAAGGCTTTATATAGGAGAGCACAGAGTAGAAAGGTAAGAACTTGAAATTATTAATGTTCATTTAGCTTATCATAGTTTTATTCATATGTTTTTAGAACTATTTTTTCTGTACATTTTAGTACCCACCTACAATGTTATTAGAATAGAATTGAATGCAGGTTAACTAAACTACAAAAATTAGCATTTGAATAATGAATTTATTGTAATGGTAATGGTATTTGATATAGCGTGGTATTGATATATATCTTCTAAAAAATAGTTCTATACATGTGGTGTAAAAATGTTTAATTTATTTATTTAGATGCTGGGAGAGTACAAAGAAGCACTAAAAGACCTCAAAACACTTCTCAACATTGAGCCTACTAATAAGACAGCCATCAAAGACTTGGAAACTGTCAAAGAACTGTTTAGAGAGGTAAGTATAGTGTAACAATTATGTTGTGTGGATGTGATTTTTTTTTTTTTTTCAATTCAATATAACATTTATTCATCCACACAAATTTGAAATTATAACATTAACCATTCAAAGTAGAGTTACAAAGTGGACAAGGGACAGTTAAAAAGTAGAAGGCTTGTCTAAACTGCCCCTTAACAAAAACATGTACACATGGAAAAAAAAATAAGTAAAGAGGAAAATATAAAAAAGTAATAATTTAGGTGAACTATCTTAATTATTTATTAAAGAGCATTTTAGTTAATTTCAATCATCCATTGGATTTTCTTTTGAGAGTACTGTAGATAATTTGCCATTTGTACTTCACATTTCATGTTTAACCACAGAGATAGATTTTTCATTAATAGTACTGTAGATAATTTGCCTTTTGTATTTACAAATTTTGTGGTGGGTGTGTATCTAAAAGTCTTCAAAAAAAAAAACTCTACTTCAGAAAATATTGATTCTGTTAGGATTGGATAGATTCTTTGATGTGAAACATAGCAACGATGACCCACGAATGTCTTGAGACTTATTATAGTGGGGCGTTTCTGTTTATGAATTTGGCAGTACACCAGAAGACAGTTCCCTGCTGTTTTCTCCAAGAGTACTTTGTTCTTTAACATGCACATCGACTATGTAGCACACAGGACCAACAGCTTAAAGAGCCTATTACCAAAAAATCTTGGATTGAAATTCCAAGAAAGTCCAAAGATTTAGACTTACATTTTAGCTCTCCAGCTAACACAAGGAGACTAGTGATGGAATTGAGTCAGGGACCAAGATTATGGAAATATCACCAGCTTAGCCAAGTGACCTAAAAAGAATTAATCACTAGAATATCATCTACTTCAGATAGAAGGTTATTTTTATATCTCATTCTCAATTCATCTTAGGAATTGCGTGTGAAGCAGACGCAAGCAGTGCCCTCTGCACCGCCACAGGCAACACCAAAAACACAAGCTACAGCTTCATCAACCACACCAGTCAAACCAACTGTGTCACCATCAACAGAAAAGTCTGAAATTTCAGCAAAGAAGAAAAAGAAGAACAACAGAAAGAAAATACAGATTAAAGAAGTTGAGGGTAGTGATGATGATGAGGTATTTTAATGATGATAAATTTGGTGATTTTACTGATGATGACAATGATGGTGATATGATATGATGCGATTACAATGATGTTGATAATGATGATGTACATGATCGTTGTCATCATCCTCATCATAGTGGTGATGGTGGTGGAAAGTTTGATAATGATTCTGTAGACAATAATGGTGACAACATTTATAGTAAGACATCCATTTTACATACACCTTGGTATGTAAGGGGTTTTCGTAAATTTAAAAATTGTTAAACTAGATTGGGTGTCAGTTTCACATATCTAGACCTAGATGTTCCCTGCCATTGAGCGCCGATAGGCTGACAGCGGCCAGGCCTAGCACAAACCACATTACAGCAGTGTGGTCTACAACACTAGAGCCTAGTTGAATTTACTTTCGTTAAAAAACAAATTATTTTAATCGGTGGCATTCATCTACTTAGCAAAATATTATTTTAACTCTTATTCAAACATCTGCATGTTTTATGGACCTTTCTATCATGTTATTTCTAGTTGTTAGATCGCCGAATTGTGTTGTTGACATGCATTTTGTAATCATTTAGGATGTCAGCAAGTTGCTGACCCAACACTCTTGTAATCATATGTGCTCAATCCGACGACACATGTGTTGGTAGTTCGTTGTTCTGGTTATGTTTATTACATTAATATAGTGATTATTATACCAGAAATGGAAGAAAAAATCCAAATTTACTATTAATAATTAAATACAACAAACTTGATTTTATTAAGAAAAATATACATTATCACTTTGTAAAAACGTGCGCAATCAGATTTTTTTTCTATTTCTATCTTTTTTTACTATTCGTTAAATCAACGTTTGTAAAATGGTTTTACTGTATTATTTTTGGTGGTGGTGGTGGTATTATCATTGTAATGGTGGTGTTGGTAATGATGGTAATAATAGTGGTTTTGGTGGTTATGTTAATGATGACACTGGTGATAATGTGGTGATGAAGATGGTGATGAAGGAAATTCTGGTGATGGTGATGTTTATGATGATGATGATGATGTCAACAACAATGATGATGGTTATGTTGATAGTGATTGTATTATTAATGGTGAAAAATGGTGACCAGTGACTTATATTTATACTTTAATTGAAACATAATACACATGCAAAAAATGTAACAACTTATAAATATTAAAATCAGCAGAGATAATAAACATAGTTAAAAGATTTAAAAAGATTTATCCTTTTGCTCAGTATTAAAATACAGGGCAACATAATGAATGTCCAATTGGTTTGAAAGAGAATGTAAAAATGTTGTCTTTAAAATATCTCTTCAAACATTGTAAAAATGATTTTAAGCTAAGAGGAAGCATATTTCTAATGTTCAAAAAATTTCATTTGGCTTCTTGTAAATATGTAGAGTGTTTTTTTCTTTTTTCTTTTTAAACTAAGCCAAAACAACGTAAATTACGTACCGGTTTCGACCTTTATCAAAGGTCATCATCAGGTGAATGAGATAATAAACATGTCATCGGAGAAGATCTACCGATGGTACGAACTAGCTTAGTCTAGTTCATTCACCTGATGATGACCTTTGATAAAGGTCGAAACCGTTGTGGTACGTAATTTACGTTGTTTTGGCTTAGTTTAAAAAGAAAAAAGAAAATTACACTCAGCATATTTCTAGTTCTAAATCAAGTAAAACGTTCGTAAACTCTTTAAGGAATTAAAGAAGGACACAATATCTGAACCACAAGAGGTTACATCAACTGAACAAGTGAAAGAAGTAGAAGTTTCTAAATGTGAGGCGGTAGAAGAAGCAGAAAAGAAGGAAAGTGCAGAGAATGAGAAACCGAAAGAAGGCACATCAAATGTAAAAACACCACCGAAGAATGAAGGTAAAAAGAAGAAAAAGAAGAAATCCAACAATAAAGGAGCTAACAGTCAGACACCTGTTGATACACTGCCAGTAGACTTGAAGGCTGTGAGTTGGAATGTCTTTATTGTTATCTAAAATCTTGTTTGTAATGTAACCCATCGTATGATCCATCGTCACAAAATTTAGCACACCATTTTTAACTCACAGGCAAGTATGGCCTGTGCGGTATTTTTTTTGCTATGGGTTCGCTAAAATGACATGGGTACAGGTTATCCAATGATGGGTACGGGTCTGCCAATAATTACTTGGGTATGGGTTCGCCAAATTTGGTGCGGGTTTACATGGGTAGGGGTTGGTTTGGGTACGGGTTAGCCAACAACACCCGTAGTAGTTAGTAGTACAGAATGGGGTAGATAGGCCTAAGCCTTTCCGTGGGAGCAAATTTTTGTCATGTAAAAATTGGGAGATGTTACTGTTTGTGTTCAAGTGAAACTTTGTTTTAAATGGTTTTTGAATTAATTGTCAAAGTTACTTTTCTTTTTATTGTTTTGTGACACTAAAACACAGTCAAAATTTGATAGCCCTACAATTGAGCATATACCTATAATTGTTTACATGTCTAAAACTATGGTGAATGCCTGTGAGGTTTGGGTAACTAGCCCTCTAGTTTTCAAGTTGAAATAAAGGCTACAGAATTTGAAACCTGAATTTTGCTGAAATAGTTCATTTTTTAGTAGATCTATAAGCCTGTTACTGTTCAATTTAAAAAAAAATGCCAGTTATTTTTAAATTTCATGTTAACTGTTTTAAAAGTGTGGTTTCCTAATAAATTATTATTATTATTATATTATTTCACTAGTGTTAACAAAATAGTAATGTCTTTTAGTAATTTTCATTAAGCCACATTTACAAGATGATTTTTTAAGATTGGAAATTTGTTTTATTAAACTATCCACAAAGATGCTAATTTAATCATGTTAGTTAAAATGAAAACCCTAGCTTTCAGGGGAAAAATTGTCCCTATTTGATTTCTTGTAGATATTGGGTTTTTTTTTCTGAATATCACTATGAAATATAATATGGTGAGTCGAATGGCCGAGCAGTTAGCAGGGACGCCGCAAGCTATAGCCATAATATCGGCGCTGGTTCGAACGGCACGCTCGTCTATGGTTCTGGTGGTAGAACAAGTCTTCTCGGATAAGGACTATAAACCGTAGGCTCAGTGTATACAATGGCTAATGTGCACTATAAAGAACCCAGTACATCCTTCGAGACGAGTAGGTGGTTACCCCGGTGTACTGGAACAGACAGCCCCTGTGGTGGACAACGAGAGTTGCTGGTACCGGGTTACCGGGTAGCACAGACACAAAGAGACCCTTAGGGGCGAAGAAAGTCATTGGTCGAGTTCCTAGTCCACATTTCAAGCGTCCTGAGCATCTTACATTAGATGGATATGTGCGCTATATAAAACTACACTATTATTATTATTATTATAATACTGTAGAACCATCCAACATAAATTGTTTAATGGTGTTTGTTTATATTCAGGGAACTCCATTTGAATTTTCACAAAGTTGGGCTAGCATCCATAAGAGACCGGATTGTATTGAGCGTTTGGCTGATTTACTCTTACTAGTACAGCCAAGCAAGCTCCCTCAAAGTAAGTTGAGCCCAGTATATGTTTTATCATTAAATATAGACTGCACAAATTTGTAACCATACCTTATTGTGCACACATATAGATGATGAAAGCATCTCTGTATTAACCTGTTTAATATGCAGGGGCGGATCCACAATTTTTCTATCCGTGGGCGCATCATTTTCAGCATACTTGTTTTGCATACTTATTTTTTTAAAGATCATTGGAGGAGGGCGGAATTCAAATAAAAGTTTGTTTTTGTATTTAGCAAATAGATTTGCCAAAAACCTTGGACAGAAGAGAAAATAAAAATAAAATTTTATTGTGAATGTAAATAGGATGGTTAAATGCTTCAATCTTATATAATTAGGAAGAAATATACATATCTTATCTTTGGAGATTTCAAGGCAGCGGAGGGCAATAAAAATAAAGAGAAGCTTTTATTTTTTTGTGAAATTTCCACTTTTTCGTGGCGGCGGGTGCACTAATTGGCCAAAAATAAAATTTTATTTTTATTCGAAATCATCAATATTTGCATTCGGCAGGTGTGCTAAACAACGTGTAAAAAAAGTGTCACCTAAGCGAGTAGTGCTGCTGGATCCGCGCCTGATATGAATTGTATAAACTGAATATTGTGCACACATTGTCCAAATACAGTTCACTCTCGAATTTGAGACCACCTTTGAGACCTGAGCATTTAGGTGGTGTCAGGATTTCATCTCCACTTCAAGAGTTAATTTTGTGTTAAAAGGTTGAAGATTGTTATTTGGTTCTGTGAAAAAGTGGTCTCGGATTAGAGGGTAACTAGAGGGGTCTCAAATCTGTGGTTGCATTATAGATGGTGAAAGCATGGCTGTCTTAACCTGTTAAATATGAATATTTTAAACTAAATATTCTCTTGCACATTATGTTTACTAATTAAATGATTGATAATTTGATTGATTAATTAATTGATTGGTTGATTTATTATTGTATCATTTAGTTGTAAGCCATACTTTGGATGGAGAGCTATTGACAGCCCTGGTGCAATCCCTTGAAAGTGCTGCAGTATTTACCAAAAGTCCAAAGGTTTACAACTGTTATGATGTTTCTATCATCTGCAGATAAAACAGGTACACAATGTTATCAATTTTGTGCCATAGCTGCCCATCTATTTATCTGTCTATCCATCTGTCTGTCTATCCATCTGTTCATACAGCACATTTGTCTCTCTCTGTTTCTCTCTTTGACTAAACACCCTCAATTGGAATAAACACCACCTTTGAATAAATGCCCCCCCCCCCATAAAAAAAAATGAAAGCAATATCATTCTCAACATGTTCTACTATTGTTGTACTCCAGTGGAGTTGCATTTTTTTTAACCTGGTTGTGATAAATAATCTTTATGATTACACAATAACATACAGTATTTTGACTGTAATTATGTGTTATAGCTCAACATTTACAGTGAAATTAAGGCGCATTTATTAAAAAATATACGTATTCACTTTACAACAAAAAAACACTCGAATAAAAGCCACCTCAAAATCCAAACTCAACAATAAATGCCCCGGGGCATTTATTCGAATAAATATGGTAGTTGATTGTCTGTTTATTTATTGAATTTTATATTGTTAGGAAGTGAACATTGTCAGTGTATTTTAATATCATCTTCTGTTTTTCTCTGTCTCTAGCTCTTCAACAAGTATTCCACAGCCTTAGCGTTGCTGAATCAAGCAAGTTCAGTAAAAGAGATGTTGACCAGTTGAAGAAGAAACACTATGCAGTATTATAGTATATTCTAGGTGTCTTATACTGCCCTCAACCACTAGCAAACTGTCTGCTATGAGAAGATATGTGTTGTATTTGTCTAGCAGTTTTCTTTGAATTTTTCTCCATTTACCTGAAAATTAACCTTAAAGATGGCCAACCAGTTTGAAATGGCAAACTGGAAAAATAGTATGTATGATGCAGAGTACTTAAATCAGGCTTAAGTGCTACCTTGTTGTAATTGGGTGGTGGTATAAAAAAAACCACATTTTGGTCCCCACGATTTTTTAATTGATTTGGTCCCGCACAATATTTTAATTGATTTGCTATTGAACTACTATTTGTCGGATTGCTGGATATATAATTCTGGAACAAATAAAAGCTCAAAAAATTATAGTGTATGTGAATATATACCAGTGAGTTTGACCATGTTGTGTGTGTTTTATGTTTAGAAATTGTTATACTGTAACTCATTTGTTATAAACCATTAAATGGTTTTTCTGTATCGTCACCTGTTACAGTGCAGTCGTGTAAAAGCATTTATGCTTAACAGTATTTGGATATACTGTACTAAGCAAATTTAAACTGGTAAAGTTTATCATGCAAGTAGCCTCAATATGTAACAAAATGATCATAAATATTAAAATTTCATAATGTATTAGTTGTGTACTTTTGGATGAGGGAATTTATAATGGTCATTTTGAAAGTACTGTATTGGAACATTTTTTTCATATATTCTCTGCAAAGAATGATTGAATGTAATTGAAACAGAATACTTATCAGGAATTGATTTTTGCAATTATTTAGCTCGAAGAATGTATGTGAAGAGTTGCAGAATTAGAAATATTAATGTACTCAGATATTAAAGAATAAAATAAGGAAAAAATAAGATCATTGTGAGTTGTTGAACATGTGCATTCAGTCCAAACTTCAATGAAAATACATAATTATATAATGACTACACACTTAACAACATTTCTAGTCAATCAAATATGATTTATAGATTATTTTGATTGAATCTGTATAAAGGGATGCAGGATAAGGTAGGTATACATATTTTTAAAAAGGGTTAGACTTTTAGTCGAGAAGTCGTAGGTTGAGACTGACGATTGTCTCCTTGCTTGTCTTTCTTCACCCAGGAGTAAAAATTGGTACTGGAGAGTTGAATGATTTGGAATGAAATTGTAGTGATGAACTACATGTATAATTAGGATTCTCCCCAGGGAGGGGAGGAGGTTGCAAGTTGTGTTTGGTTGATTCTGTACCAGTGACCAGGAAAAAAGTGCCTTGAGTAGTTTGCATACATATCCTTTAGAAGAGGATGAGGAGTTGTTGCACTCCAATGAATAGTTGTTACCACCATATATGGTGGGGTAACCACTGTGTACATTGAAAAATGGGGACTTGTTCTATTTCCTGTGCAGTCTTTTTGTTCTGTGTAGGACTAGAACATCACCCACATTTTTTTGTTGAAGGATGAAGTAAGTAGCCCATGAAAGCCAGTTCATGACAACAGTTCATGACATAGCTTATGCTATAAATATAAATTTAAACTTCCCAAAATTTTAATCCAATACACTTAAATGATTCAGTAAAAGATCTTAAGACAAAAGAAAATGCTAATGGATACTAACGAGAAGATTTTACTCATGTGGCTTATGAACTATGTTTCATTTGACTTTGACACATGTCAAAACATAGCCTTGTGAAATACTGTATACTGATTATGTTGTAATCCTTTGCCAGTAATTGATAAAAATGTATGTTAAAAATATGAATTATTTGAAAAGGACAAAATGGAATCTATTAGTTTCATTTATTAAAGGCCTGACATTAATTCAGTTGATAGAAAGTGCTTGAAAAGAATTGATCATTCAAAATACTCAGTTATGTTTTGTTTTATTCTTTCAATCAATTTTATATTAATTGGGACCAAAAAATGTATTATCAAACTTAGGAACTATATAATCATTGTAATAATGTGGCTGTTTATGAGCACTGAAATAAAAATATCTCGACACAAAATAATGTGGTATAAATATATATTGTAGTAGGTTTTTTTCGTCTATAAGATGTCACATTTTTTTTCATTCTGTTTTAGTAGTTTCCAAAATCAATGGAAAGTTTCTAGGAAAATTGATTGTGTTGAGATATGAATTTTAAGTCATTGAAATGTTATTGGTAGGCCTTGTTTTAATTTGCCTTAGTTACTGGTTCAATTTAAATTAATTTTATAGGCCTATATTTAAAATTTTGTGGTGTTTCACAGGTTTTCTACATGGGCCATCTCAGGGGTGTCGCCAGGAATTCCTCGACGATCAGTCCAAGCTCCCCGACAAGGGTCCACACTCAAACGTTGGGATCCCCTCACCTTGTTTTCCCCGGACCCCGTTAGCGCCACCCCTGGGCCATTTCCTTCGCATTCACTAAGTGAAGAATACAGAATATTGTTCCTTCACATCCTGTTTAGGTGAGGGATCTTGATTTTCTACCTTTTTCTTACAGATGCAGCAAAATGTTGAAATTCTGACATTCATTATTATTTTTTTTAATTAGTAGTAATAAAATCACTTCAATGTTGACATCTTTTTTTCTTGCAAAAAAAAGGTATAAAAGTTTGTTGTGTCAAACAGAATGGAATGAATAAAGTTTTTCATAACCAGATTTAGTTTTCTCTTACTTTCTGAAGTAGCATTATTTTTTTTTTGTTTTATTTTATAATGCACATATCCAGAAAACTTCTCAGGACACTTTTTTCCCTGGTCATTGGATACAGGATCAATCGTACACAACATAAACCCTCTCCACTCCCTGGGGAGTATTCCTAGTTATGCATGTAACCAGCACTACTAATTTCATTCTGTATCATTCACATCCTGCCAGGTACCCATTTATACTCCTGGGTGAAGAGAGGCAAAATGCTGATAAATTATATTGCCCAAGGACATAAGCAGTGTGACGAGCATCGGTCTCGAACCCCCCATCTTCCAATTGAAAGGCTAGCACCTTGCATGCTGCACCATACACTTCTACTACATTGAACTGCAAAGAATGCAAAACATAGCCAAATTCAGTAATTAAGTTTCAAAATCCCATCATACTAACAGTATGTGTGTGTGTGTGTGTGACGCACCTCCCCAAATATTCTTTGAGTTTCAGGTATTCAAGTGTGTACAGTGTGCAAATAAATTTTCTCCACTTTTTTATTCAGGAATTCTGTTCAAGTAACAGTGCTTTGAATTTCATATGTAAATTATTGGTACCATATATCTAAAAAGTAGTTTTGAAAAATGTTTTCGTACAATACTATTTATAAATTAATTTAAACAAAAAAGTAGTTAATTTAAGTTTGATGCCATAGGCAAGAAGCAGCATTCTTTCGTTTGCGCTGTTTATAATCTTTGCATCGTCTTCCTTTCCACTGGGATTTGTTTCATGTATTAGAAGGCAAATAAACCACCAAACTACATCTTCATTCTAATTTGTACATAAAAGGATACACTTCAACAGAATTTTTTTAAATAGTAAATTTATTTTATTTTCAACAACCAAAAATAAGATGCAGAAAAACATTTTTTTTTTCAGTGTTGCTTAGTTTTACTTACCCAATTATGGGTTTTGTCCTAGTAAAGATATTGTATCGCCTATATGCATAATTAAAAATTCACAATTTTAACTCAGTTTTAACCACCATTTATTACTAATAACTGTAAACAATTCTTAGTGTATACAAATAGAAATGATCATGACAAGAATTATCTGTGTCAATTACCTTGGTAAGGAAAGAAGAATGATGTTTTAATATGTTTTACTGGAAGCCATGATCTATATGATACATACATACATAATTACTTTAAAAAATCACTATATTAACTTGTACGTATCAATTTAAACAACCACAACTGTAAACACTGCTTAGTGTATGTACATAGAAATCAAAAGGGTTGTTTTAAAAAATAGATAGGTTATAGGCGTGCATTTCGATACTTGGAGTATGTATTATACTATCTTATCTGAGATTAATCAGTGGACCTTTTGGTTAAAGATAGGTTATTTCAAAATTACTAGTTTCATCGCATACCTAGCTAGGAAAAATCTAATAATATGATTAAGTTTTAGAGAGTCACCACTTTTGGTCTGCACAGTCGAGTAAAACCGTGCAATGACTTTGATCTGGGACCATCCTGGGCCAAGACTCATGCCATACTCTAAATAGGCCTCAAATTTTTCCTTTACAAATTCTTCTCTAACAAACTAAATTTATAGGAATTTCCTTAATTCTTGTTTACATAATAATTTCAGTACACATGCCATGTTTACAGTATTTTACTGTAAATATTCATTGCCTGTTTTATAATAATAGGAAGCTTTCGAATATGTTCAACCACACTATGGTAGAACGGAATCACTCGTGTGACCGTCCTACCAGGCGTCCCACTTTCTCTGTGTATGTAGATTTGGCTAAATTGCGTCCTAGAATCCGCGCGACGAGGACAACTTAACGTTCTCGCATGTGCAGATGACTTTTAGTGACGTCATTACGTTCTACATCCTGCCATTGTTATGCAATCGAAAGATCCCTAATATATTGTGAACAATACATCTTCAAAATAAAATGGCCTCCTTTAAATAACTTGATAAATTAGTACATGGTCTGCATAAGAAAATTGGCTTTTTTTTAAAAAACAAAATAGTGAATACTAATAACCACAAATTACATTTTCCACACAAAATTGTATAACTTATAAAGCCACAGTCATGTGTATAGACATTAATGATACACTATACACAAATTGTATACAGTATTTCATGATAAATATACTTTGTGCATATTTTATATATCTGATACAAGAACAGATTAAATTTTACGATTGCTGTACAAATAAGAAAATTACAATTATTGTTAGTTGGTTAGTGTATTCTGTTATGTATTTTGACTGAATACAGTATTAATCTTTATTTGTAGTTATTTTTAATACAGTAGAAATAGTACCCACCTCCCTAAAAAAAAAAGAAGAATGTATGAAATTGTGATTTTTTAGAATTAATGTACAGTATCTAAAAATTATAACGATCGATAAGAATAAAACGCCTGAGATGCAAGGGAGCTTACATTAGAGAAGGAAACACCTCTAACGTTTTTTAGCTGTCAATTTTGTTTACTGCTTCCATATAATTGCTGCATCATCCTGAGAAACCATAGCCATCTGATTTGCTATGCCTGGGCATCACTTTTTGCCATAAAAATATGTCCGCCAAAATCCAAATCAAAATCACCTATTCAGGTTTATACCTGTCTCTTATACACATCTAGATGTGTATAAGAGACAGATATTATGCAAGTTTAATAATTAGTTGGCAAACAATCAGCATTCCAATTCAAAGTAATATAAGTATGAATGAAGGATGTACAATTGAGGCAATTTGTGTGATGTTAAAAAAACACATCAGATATCAAAGAAGAATCATTTAGAACTAATCCAGGCAACATCACTGTTATCTATGAAATGGCTGATTTCTGGGGAAAATGTAGCTATTCTACAATCTTCAATCAATCATTCTGTAAATACTAAATGGTGCAATGGTGTGAATACAGGTAAAAGCATATTTTTGAAATAGCTACTCAAATATTGAGTACCTGCTTATACTTACCTTACAAACAGAGCATGTATATATCAAAGCCTTCTTAGCTGAAGCCTTACTATCACCACTGGATTTTGCCTTTAATTTTTTTTGTTTCTCTGCATTTTTCTGTTGTGATTGAATCTTTTGCTGTCCACGTGCCATGTTGACCAATTACTAAACACAAGAAAGATGCAACTGAAAAAAATAATTATTATCATTACCAAAATCAGCAATTTTTATGGGGTAGCCACACTGTACAATATTTGTTTTTCCTCTGAGGATACAGTATCTCGATAACCAACTCAAATTTGCGCAGAAAATTACTAGGAAAATAGGTGTGTGGAATCGTAATTACTGTTTACAAACATTGTACATTGTGTGTATATTGAGAGATAGAGCAAGACCTAATTTCTGATGCAGATGGAATTCTAGGCCTATTTTTGCATAATCAACACAGAAGCCCTTGTGGAGTAATTCACAAGGTGGGTGGGGGATGAGGCGAGCAATGCATGATAAAAAAGTGAGGGTAAGCTGGCTGGGCTTGTGTTATAACGATGAATAGTCCACAATTTTTTATACTGTATGATACAAAAAATTCATAAACAAGAACATCAAGTATTCCCCACCCCCATTATAATCCAATATATATAGATAGGCCTAGAGCCTAGCTAGGTAAAGAGACCCTAAAAAAGGCCTATGTCTATGACGCTTGACCTTCCCCACCACAATTCTTTAAAAAAAAAAAAAAAAAAAAAAAAATCCATAATTGTTACAGATTTTGAGAATAAAATCAATAAAATAAGTCCCTCACTTCCTCTTGAGGGGTTCAGGATGGTACATATACTGAAATTGGGTTAATACCTCCTAGCCTAGCAGTGGCAGATCCTGGATTCAGCAATGGGGGTGGATAATACAATTTGCGAAGCACCAAGCCGAGTCGTGTATTGTACTGTAAGTACTGTAATTCAGATGTTTGTGGGCAGATACAGTACCGATTGTACAGCACACTTTTGTTAAAATCTGGGTCATTTATACAGCTCATTTTAACCATTTTCAGGCATCTTCTTGACTTATGAAATTATGATATTGCGGTCGAAAAGTGAGGGGACCAACCCACCCCCTCAACTCAACCCCTTGATCATGGGTTTTAGGAGAGGCATCCCCTTCCATTTGAGATTTTTTGGAATTAGTAGACATCTACAAGGGACAGGGACATCCTAGACACCCTTGGATGACATCTGAAAAGAAGTTATGCTTAAAATAAAAAGTGTATGTTTTACGAGAGTAGCCTACTACATTTTGTAAACATGTATACATGAGAAGCACACACACAAGACGAGTGACCATATTTTTTTTTTCGAGGTCACCGATGGGAGATGGCTAGCCACCTTATTCACCCCCACCCACCCTCCTAGATCCGCCAATGCCTAGCTAGGCTCACCAAGCCTTCAACACTCAACCTCCAGACGACTTATGTGTTGCGGTAGATTATGAAATTTCACCGTCGTCAGTAAATGGGGCAAAATGGTTAACTTTCACTCGGGAATTACAGGTTGAATTTACAATTATGACCCACCTACCATAACTACAAAACTTACTTACTCAAACTTACGTTTTTCATTAAATCTTGGTGGTGTTTAATATAATTTTGGCACTATAACTCACCTTATTAACTCTACAAAATACAAAAACTCTAAGCTAAGGCTGTAGTAAACTTTTTTCCACTGATCTGAGCGCAGAGCGGCGCTATACGATATTTGCTGCAGAAGCTATTATTTTTGTAATAAAACATCCTACATTTATACGCAAATTATAATTTATTTTAATTTATAATTATTTATATAATTTGAAAATTATTTTACATGACTATTCAAATAATTGTCTTTTTATCTAACTTTTTAAAATATATATTTTATTATGATAAAAATGATTGGCTACAGCCGCTCAAAACCGTGACACAGACCCAAAAGTAGTCCAATTAACGGACACCCTATTAAGGGGACATTTTCGGGACCAAAAAAAGTGTCCCCTTAATAGGG